AAACTACAATAAAAAAAAAAAAAAAAAAAAAAAAAAACACACTCGACGCAGGTGCCATGGCCACAACAGCAACCACCACCAGAATTCCCGGTATATCACCACAATATATATCACTTCCCGGCGTCCCACCTCGAACCAAACACCTGTTTTCCAGTCCCCATCTTCGAGTGGACCGCCCTCCAGCCAGCTTGCATCGACGTTAGCACTGCTACTTCAGCACCCTTTGTTTCAGATGTGCAATCTGGCTGGGAAGACTCGTCCACGTCTGATGCGTTACCTTATGGGAATCTCTGAGTTTGGCCGCGGTAGTCGCTCCTTGGAACCATGGTACTACGTAAAGCAGTGCTCGACGCAGATGTGTGGGCTAGCGTGGCTAAGCTAGTTAGTTAGTTAGTTGGTTGGTTAGTTCGTGCATAGCAAAATTCACGCGTATATATTCGAAATACATTCTCAAATCGCTATTCAGTAAGTTCTGTTAAATAATTCATCCGCTGGGAACATGTTGCTGTTGCTGTTGTTGTTGTTGTCGTCGTCGTCGTCGTCGTATATACTCCCCGCAAGCCAAGCAGCCATAGCAAGAATCTCAAAACTATCCATGTATAATTCCAGCTTCTAGAATCCCATATATATATATCAAATTACATATTCACGAATCTCGCTTTCCATCTCTAATCATCCCACCCACAAAAGCAAGTCCCCCACCCCCGACCCCCGACCCCTCTACCAGGCGTACATACATACTCTAGTCCCGCCATCTCTGCATCATCTCCACTCCCTACCGAGTAAGTAAGTAAGTCAAGTATCCAGCCCACCACATACATAATTACTTCTCACCCGCACTTCCTCCCGACATGCATTCCTTCACATATTGAGCCTGCACCGCGTACGTATGGCATCGACATGCGGCTGCAACACGTGTTCTGCGTGCGTCGACACCGGGAACAGAGTGTACAGGTTCTCTAGTTCCTGTCTGACTTGCTCGTCCGTCATTTCGTCTAGCGCGGTCATGTATTTGCAATGGCGGCGTCTGGCGATGAGGATGTCGGCGTGTTTGTCCTGTGCAAGCACGTTAGTTGTTGGTTGGTTATTGGAATGGCGACTAAGTACAGCCACAAACAGCATCATGACGCCTTGCCTCCGCGTACATGATGGTATGGAAGAAAGAAAAAAAAACGTAGAAGCCACGCATGCAATATATTAACCCAGGAGTGTCTTTTTTTTTTACACATACCTCGAGAATCTCCCCACACACAGCCACATACTGCTCTGCCTCGCGAAAACTATATCCAACACGTACTTCCACCACCCTACCACTACCACGACTACTATTCTCGCTGCTGCTGCCGTCCGCCCCCAGCGCAGCAGCAGCAGCAGCACTCGCCTTCTCCACCAAGAGCAAGCGGCCATGCTTGAAATCCGATTGCACGGCCCATCTGCGCGACAGGCGCAGCGCGCGATGCGAGACTAACATGGAGTAGAGCAAGGGCAGCGATAAGAGCGGCTGCGCGCCATCATGTACGATACAGATTTTAGTCAGGCGGGTGAGATTCTTCTCCCACACGAGGCGCCAGAGGAGGTGTGCGGTGAATTCGCGGGCGCGACCACCTGCTCCTGTGTCGGGACTCGGGACTCCCGTCCTCCTCCTTCTCTGCGTTGCAGCATCCCCACCGTCATCATCACGATTAATCCAAGCGTCGGCTTGAAACCGAAAATACAGCTCTCGTAAATTCCCCAGCCCCGCTTGCGCAAACTCAAACGGCTTCACGCGTCTGCGCGCTGCAACGAGGCATGCAGGCGGCGAGCCAGCAGCGGCGCCCAGATACAGATTCTGCAAGTGCAGCGGGAGAAGAATCTGCAGTTTGTGCATCTGAGCTGCGAGAGCTGGAGTCAGGAGTTCTGCGGTTTGCGAGGCGAGCGCTGCCGCGCTGTGCCAGGCGATGGTGTAGATGGAGCTGGAGCGCGTGAGCGCGCTGAATTCAGTGTAGAGTTGGCGGCACGTCCAGGAGAGCGCCATGCTGCTTTTTGAGATGCTGCAAGGTGGGGTGGTGCCCGGGGAGCGGACGAGTAGGTGGGATACTATTGTGTTGCGGAGTTCGCCTGGGAGGGCGAGCAATGGCGGTTGTGGGTGGGAGTGTTGTCGTGGCATTTCTCTCTCTCTCTTTTCCATCTTGCTCTGGTTTTTCTTTGGGCTGCTTGAATTGTTCGATAGATGGCTGGAAGGTATCAATTGCTTTCTTTTTTTGGGGACAAGAGAAGTTTGGTCTTCTGGCGTGTCTTGATGTCCAAGTATGGGAAACGATGGTAGTGAGATGGAGAATTACTATTACTTGACTACGTAAGTACTTAGGACGTCGCTAGTCGAGAGGGGTTAGTGCAACCCACCATACTTATACCATACCTTGTTGAAGCGACACTTCACTACCACTAAGCTTCCTAAAACCTAATTATTCCTCTCATCTATATTCTCTCATAAGAGAGAAGGAGGGAGGTGGTCATGGTAAAAAAAAAGAGCGGGACAGGCATGTTCCGAAGCAAATCTAACTAGATCTCCTTCAAGGAGAGGTATAGTTATAGATAAACAGATATATATATAACACTCAGCGGGCACACGAAAAATTGTGCATTTCCGACATTGGATATATGAAATAGCGCGATTCGTCCGACAATCATGGGAAACCAGATTCATGTACATAAGTAGATTGTACTGAGCTATACGATTCTCACATGTTCACTATATTAATCTTGAAACCAGCACTGAATTATGCGTATGAGGAAAATCTAATTGATCAAATACTTCTCAAGGTAATTATTTTCCATGCAAAAACAAGGAGAAATTATGATTCGTTATAAACTTATCGTCCCTAAGCTATTTACACAACAAAATCTCCCCACACTCCAGTCCAGCACACCTCTACTCTTCATCAACACACCCCGCATCCTTGCATTTCTTCCCATCACACACCTTGTGAAAGTCCTCATGAGCCTTTGCACCGCGGCCAATCATTTTGCGAAACTGTGTAAACTCACAGCTCGCACCAGGACCGTCCTGGCACGTGGGGATTGGGCGCGGGGCGGTATTTGCAATGAACCTGATGTAGACGCCTGGGCCATCGCCATGCTCAGCGCCTCTCTCACACGTCATTTTTTCCATGCCGACGTGGCCGAGAAAAGGGATGAGATCGCTCATTCTCCAGGCGCGCGTCCAATTGATGTGATCGGTGGGGAATTGCTCGGCGGCGTCCGAGGAGCTGTTGAAGAGACCGAGGGCGGTGGCGATGAAAGGAGGAACTTCGCGGTGTGTGAAGCCGAGGAAGAAACGCTGCTGGTCAGGCCAGCCGTCGCCCGGTGTGTTGTGCTTTTCAATATGCTCAAAGAGTTGGGATTGTGCTTGGAGCCAAGGGAAACCAAGGTAAGGTGATAGTGGGTTGAGAGGACCAACCATGTATGCGTACTTGAGGTCCCACGCGTACTCGTATGCCATCCATTCCGAGTCGGTGAACTGCTCGCATACTGGGCTGCGCTCGCCTTTGATGGCCGACTCGTAGCCGCACAGCATCTGGAGGGCGACGACATCCTTGGGAGTCAGCTTAAAGGGCACATACGGTGAAAGTCTCTTCGCAACACTCTTGCCGTAGAGCTCAATGACCTTTTGCTGCTGCTTTTCACCGGGCTTCTTTGAGAAGTTCTTGCAGGACTTGTGTGGGATGAGCGACTCCATGGATCCGTTCTTGTTTTCCGTGATGCGCACAATCTCAATGTCTTCTTCTTGAGGAAAAGCCCGAATAAAGTTCTTGGCAGTGTCAAAAGTCCTGCTCTTCTTGTCCGCCAATATTCTCTGTGTGTCAGGCACAAGGTGCGGGTATCGCTGCAACAAGTGCTTTCCCACAACCTTTGCGTCTTCAGCTCCGGATGGCGTCAGGTCTTCCAATTTATCTTCCAAAATTGGTGACTGCCATTTGCTCATAAACGCCAAAGGCCCAGACCAGCCCTGCCGATGCTTTTCGAGTTTCCAGAGAAACGGCTTAATGTACTCTTCGTACTCTTTGTCGTTGGAGTAGATGGCTCCATGGCGGATGATGTAACTGGCCGCCGTGACATTGCATCCTACTGGGGGTGTGTGCTCGAGACCGAACCCTGGACGCGATATCAGCAATTGTTCAGTCAAGTTCCAATCATGTCACTGACCGATGGCATCGAAGTAGGGCGATATTCCCGGGAGATGGAGCAGTGGATCGAATTTATAATTCTGCGAATGCTCAAGAGGTCGAAGTGGTGATTGCGCTGGGCCTTGGGCGTGCAGAAACGAGGGTAGCGTCAAAGCCGAGGCTGGTGCAGCCAGCAAGAAGGCGAACGGCAACATCTCCAAGCTTTCACGGAAGCTTCTTCCGTTACAACTAGGTTGTCAGGTAATATGACAGGGAGGGATAGCCCGGAATGCTGGGTATTGGGGTCGCGCGCCGTTTTGTTGTGACTTGTAATAGTGACGTACTTGGTTCCACAAGAGACTCGGACGCGCTAGTCCAACGTGCCGCACCAAGGCTGCAGAGCTAGTCTTGGACATCGTCACTTGCGGCTTGTTATCTATTGGATCTGCAGTGCCATGCTGCATTACATTGCGAGAGGCTCTCATGTCTTGGTCGTGATAATATTCACATGCAGGTTGGTCAGAGACGAGGTACAAACTCCTCGTTCAGTCAGCAGTCTAGATAACTTACGTACATGCCCTGCTTCATAATCATCCAAGGCCCTTAAGACGGAAACGACTGTATTCTGATTCGTGCAGGGACTAGCGCTAGAGTATCAAGACTAATACACTGCCAGCTGTGACACTGTCGTGACCATTGCGCAGTGGATACAAGCCCGAGGCCTCTTGCCACATGCTGTGAACAAGATATATCGGTTGGTAACGCGCAGCAGACACTTGTTCATCATCACTACCCTTCATTGACTTCTCCCTCTTCTCCCGCAAACACTTGCACATAAACACCACAGCATACTGATTTAATCAGAGGACGCTCTTTTGTGGACGTGCATTGTTCGTCCCGCCAGAGGAAGCTGTTGCTTGGTTCGTTAAAGGCAGTCGCAATGTCGTGATGAAGCTGATCAACCCGTGATACCTACCGTGCGAAGTAGCATGCTTTCTGCAGTAGCAGTGAGAGGCACGGAAGCTTCTGTATGTTCTTATTAGATGCTGGCCGTAGCATCGTAGACGAAACAATCATGTCCTAAGGAATCAGTCGCCCAAAAGGGCCTCGTGGTTAGCCTTGAGCTGATGCGCAGCGCCGTGAATGCAGGGTAAATGATCGATGTTGATTGCAAGCATCATGAGAATTGTGAGAAGCCCGGACTGACACCACGCCTTAACGCTTCGATACCATCGCCGACAGCGGAGTATACGCAAGACTAGACGTTGTGCGAGACCCAAAGCGACTCTCTCGAGGGGAAGAGTGGGTGTCATACCAGTTGACGTCTGAGAGCTGCAGCTTTCGTGCACGTTGGTTGCTGCGATTGGTGCCAGCTTTGTCGAGGCGCGGCTGCGCATATGGATTTGGAGTCTTGTCCAGACCTTTATAAGTTTCAGTATACTTTCTATTGGTGTTGGGTTGAAGGGTGTAAAGAAATGGTGTATCACCAGTCGAATCATCGGCATCCTCGCGAGCTTCGTTGTAGTTCAGGACGAGGCTCTTGATGCGCTGCCGTTCCTCTGTGTCGGCCTGTTGCTTGTTACGCATAGCAACAGCAAATGTCGAGTCTGAAGGTAAGTCAATAGATCGCGTCTGCGTTCGGTTGCCACGCTTGCTAAGCAACGAGAATTTCATCGTCTGAGACGAAGGCGGAGCAACTGAAGCAGGCGCCTCGTTACCACTGTCTTCGGCATTGACTGGAGCCTCTCGAGCACGGCGCATGGGTAGTGGCACGTCAAATACAGGTTTTCGGTCATGCTTGCGTGATTCTGCGCTCTCCGACATGAGCTTGGCAAGCTCGCGGTCGAACTCAGCATCCGCCTCAGGATCGCGTTCATCCTCCTGGCGAGTTACCACAATATGTTCTTCCTCTTCGTCCGACGAAGCTTGCTTGACAGGCTCTTCATCCTCTGACTCGTCTTCCTCTTCGTCGGATGATTTATCGCCTTCACCTTCTGGCATATCCACATCTTCATCTTCAGGACCGTCTATATCATCGTCAGAAGCAGAGACGTCGTCCTCGTCAGGCTCCACTGGCTTGTCGGTTGCTGTTGTCTGGTAGTTTTGCTTGACAGCTTCAGCAAAAGCATGTGAAGCTTCTTCCGGGTCGGTGATCATCTTCCACTGGGGTCGAACAAGGTTGTATGCATCCTGCACAATGAACTCGACATCCATGGGCAGTGCCTCCTTCATGCAGACGTAGTACTGCAAAAAGGTGAGGAAGAAGTCGAGCTTCTTCTTGGCAGCACCCTTGTCGTAGTACATGCCGCATGTTTCCAAGAGATTACAGACCAGGCGAATGCGAAAGTAGTCGTCTGGAAGATCCAAGGGATTGTACACTCCAGGCCGGATATACCCGCCTTCCCAGCCGTAGTTCAAGAGCTTGTACAGCGTGTCGAAAATCAGAGGCGAATCGACTAGCCGATAGATGTATAGTTCACCGAGGTACTTGACCTCGGAGATTCTTCGCTGATTGAACTTGAAGTCGTTCAATTCTAGGCCAAAGGTAATCGACTCGAGAAGATCATCGACGACGGAGATGGCAAAGTCTTGGTGAAAACGATGGATGGTGCCCAGCATGACGGCCAGAAGATGAATGTTGCTATACTTGATCTTTCCAGGCTTCGCAAACACTTTGTGGAGGATACTGACCACGTCTTCCTCTTCCCAGTGCATCTTGCGGACTTGTTTGATAGTCTTGTCCAATGAGCGGCGGGTTAGATCCTGGTACATGATCTTACGTAGGAAGAGTTCAACCGGAGTGCGCTCTTTTTGTTCGATTGCGGCGCGCTGGGGAGGGTTTACGTAGTATACGGCGTTTTCAATCAGCATCCGCTCCTGCTGACCGATAACCTGAGCAGCCTTCTTGCGTTGGAGCGTCTCTAAAAAGGAGGCCATCCGAGGAGAAGTTTCTGGGTTGCGGAGGAGATAGCGCCCGCAATTCTCCAGCAAGTTGCAAATAATCTCAATGTTCATGCGTGAAAAGTCATCCAAGCTGACCTTGAGACAATGGAAGATGACGTGCTCAGGAACAACGCCAAACTTGGTCAACTCTGCGAGATAGCGAACATTCTGTGTCCGCACTTGGCCTAGGAAGTCTTTGGATTTACGCCGTTGCAGGCTTCTAAACTCCTCGTCTAGGTAGGACACCAGGCCTTGTGGGACATCAGGCATGTACTTTCCGAGTGTTGCAATGAGCCTGGAATACAGAGGCAGCAAGTCGGACCGTCCTTTGGGGATTTCCTGAACCGCCTTTATGAGGCGGTTGCGCGAAGCCTTTGAGTTCAAGAAACAAAAGTCCATTGCGGTTTGGTCAACTGCATCCTTGCTCGCAAGTTCGGGGAGGCGTGCTAAAAGAGCATCGACCTGTGCTCCGACAGACTTGTTGGCGATGGCGGTAGACTGATCATCCCCGTCGGCTGCTTTGCTTTCTGCAGCAGTATCCGCAGCTTCTTTGTCAGGACTGTCGGCCTTGGCTTCAATCTTCTTGCCAACCTGCTCATCGCCGTCGACCTTCTTTTTCTTGACTTCCTCGAGCAGGATTCCCGGAACGCGGTCTTTCAGGTCGATGAGGTTCTCGTAAAACCGGCGCTCTTCCTCATCTTCCCAAATGCCTGCACCGTCGCTTTGGCCGCGCAAGTACTCGCCCGCCTTGATCAGACCAATAGAGCCGTCGGCGCCTGGGATGGCGAGCAAGGTACATGACTCCACAATGGTCACGGCGGCTGCCGCTCTTCTGCTGACGACGTGGCAGGCGTCTTCGCCGTCCAAGGCTCGCTCGACTCTTCGATGAAAAAGAACACGGCCTTTATCAAGCGTCTTCGAACCGCCATCAACGCCCCCGCACAAGCCCAGTTCCTCCAAGAAATCCGCGCCCTGTCTCTCCACAAATACCTTTCCGAAATCATATCGGCCTGCTACGAGGGCCTCTGCAAGCTCAAGACGCCCGGCGAAGTCGCTGCTGGTGTCGAGATTGTCAGTGCTCTCCACCAGCGTTTTGGCCCCGCAGAGTTTACAGGATACATTGGCTGGTACATTGGAAGAGGGCTTGCCACCCCAGACAAGTCACACTTGAAGACGCTGGCACAAGATGTGCGCGAGCGAGAAGAGAAAGAGCGATTGGCTCGCCAGCGCGTGCTGTTACGTGTTGCCACCGAGTTGTGGCTTGTGGGTGTTTTGCGCAGCCTGGATGACGTAGCCCGACCCGAAGAAGCGAGCAAGAGCAAGGACAATGGCAAACTTGTTGAAGGCTCGGCAAAGGCAAAGTCACGAGCAGACAGCACCGACGCTGAGCCCTTTCCATTGGAAGTTTTGAAGGACATGCTTGGACACGACCGTGAACACGTCAATCTGCCTCTGGTCGTCATCTTCGTCAAGGCATTTTCTTGGGATATACTCGGCACCAAACCCCCTTCTGCAGAGGGCCGCAAGACTGTCAACGATGATGGATCGACCGTAGGAGACAAGAATGGCGACTTGTCTGGCGTCGAGGACGAAGACCAGGCCAGCAAAGACCCGCCCCTCATTTCGTCGGAATTGCAGCAGCGATTCAAAAACATTCTCACTCGTTATTTCGAAGATGTCAAAGCGCACCTCCTTCGCGATCAGAAACACATACTCAGTCAAGGCCGGAAGAATGCTGAAGCATACGTCAAGTCTGGAGAGGTCTTTGAAGATCGCCAGTCCAACTACGAGAAGCAGATGAAGTCGCAAGAAAAGCTCATAGCCAACGCGCAAATCTTGGCTGACGCATTGAATGCAGACATGCCCGATCTGAAGGAAAAGGACGGTTCTGCAAACACGGGGAATATTGAGTTCACGAAGCTCTCCTAGTGAGTGTTAGACTCTGGCGGTGTGGCTACGAGAGCTGCTGCCTACGCTTTCTGTGCCGCTCCATGGTGGAGTAGGCGATGCCGCAGCTGAGGAGGGGCGGCGGAAGATGGCACGGATCGGTTATGATACGCGCACATGGAAGACGGGAGTTATGTCGGGCGCAGCTGCTGCTTGCATTTGTTCGGGCTCGGGCTCGGGCGAAGCAGCGCGGGGGCGGGCGGGCGTGTTTGCGACAGTGGCAATGCCGAGGCGGACGTTACTTGTCGTCGTTGTGCCGCGGTGGTGGGCGTGTAAATTGTACCTGCAGCGACTTCACTCGTCGACAGCGTCCGTGCGTCATCCAAGTGTCCCGCGGTTGGGACCAAGGGGCTGACTAAGCGGTGGGTTTGCATGCACATGTGCATGTGCATGTGCCCATGGCAACGGTGCCCCTCTCAGCTCTCGTCGTCGCCCGCCGACATGTGTAGCTTCAACCTTGCTTCACATTACGTACATGTTGCTGGTGCTGGTGGCGCGACGAGTCGGTCCAAGACTGCCCAGCGCACTACACAGCTCAGCTCAGCGGCCGGCGCGAACAAAGAATGATACTGAGCTCTGGGCGGCACTGCTGTTGGTGCGCATGCCATGTCCTCCGGTCAGGCGATATTTCTACTGGACGGCGTGCCGACGTCAGCCAATGCAGGTGGCCGGTGTTGCACGCCTCTCGGCAGCGTGGCGACTAGCATTCAACACAAGGTGGTTACACGCGCGCGCAAGCAGGAAAGGAGCCAACTGCTGGCGGCGTGCATTTCCATATAGAGCATCTGGGCAGGGACTGTGATTGAGTAGCTGTGGCTATTTGCAAGCGGCGTCCAAATCAAAGGCCGTCATGGGCTTTTGGACCGGCTAAACCAATTGGCCTGAAGCTTAGACATAAAAGTTAGCTTCCAAGACTTGACAGGAACATTAAATAGCCCCTGAGGCCTGCCACATGGGAGCCTGTCAGGCTTGTGAGTGGCTGCAGATGACATTAATATCGACTGCTATCATGGCTGGGCAGGTGCCGCGTTCATGCATTTTTTTTTCTCAGCAGCGGTGGCATCATGGTTTGTCAGGGGGCCATGACGAGGCTAACTGTGGCAGCATGCAGGACGACGACAGCTGGCGGCGGTATCCCAGGCGGTTCGTGTGCGACATGGCCAATGTTTAAATTTGCACATGAAGAGAGACGGGTGTCTAGCACCACCTAGCACGTGTGGGCCGCAGATGAAGGCAGATGGTGTAATTGCGAAGGCGGCGTCGCGCAATATACAGTGGTGCTATGGGCCAAGGGCGCATGTAATTAGGTTATGGGGAAAAGCAGCAATGCGAGGCGGGCAGCGGAGGGAGCCGGCTGCGAACAAGATTGCGGGAGCGCTGTAGCGAGGGCCATGGGCGCTGTTGCGCGTAGAAACACATTGGGCAGAGGCTGGAGACGAGAATACGTAAAAACGAAAAAAAAAACCAAGGCCGTGGGGGAGGGCAGGCTATCGATTGCGAGCCGTCGGTGGGCGGGCGGACGGGCGAGATTGGGCCATGGACGGACTCCTGAGCGGTAAGGTGGATATGTTTCTGGATGCGACGTGACGAGGACGAGGAGAGGACCCGGCCCAGGACCCACTCGGCTATAGAGTGTTTTAAAAATGGCATGCAGCCGGTACAAACAGAGTGTGCACGGGTCGTGTTTGACGGAGCATGGGTGTTGGGAGAGAGGCGAGGGTATGCTTTTTGGGAGCGGGTCGCGCTGTTACTCGCAGCAAGCACCCCACCGCAGACTCGTATTCAGGCCAAGTATTTTTTCCTAGTGCTAGCGCTCGTGGCTGGCTCCGCGGCAGGTGGGCGGCCGAGGCAGAGGCGTGGGAAAAGGGGAGCGCAGCAGCAGGCGCCGCCGCCGCCGCAAAACGTAGGCTAGCGAGTAGCATGTATACCGTCGCGCGTCGTCCGCGCGAGGCTGCATGTGATGCGTGTGATGCGTGTGAGGTGCGTGTGGGTGATATGGTGTGGGTGAGCGTGTGTATGTGTCGTGTGTGGGCAAAGGCGTGTGTGGTGACGGCGGGTCGCAGGCTGCGAAGAGGCGCAGGAGCCCCCTGAGCGCCCAGGCAGAGGCTAGGTTTGGCTTGGCAATGCGCCAGGCACGCCAATGCCGCCGCACGGGAGGCGGATGTGCCCTCCCCCCAATGACAATCTATCCCAGGCGGCCATTGCCATGCTTACGCCAGGCTCTAGAAGCCTCCTCTGCGCGCGACACGGCTACACTACGGAGGTGACTATCGAAAGTTCTTGCTAGCGCCACGCTAAGCCGCCAGCCTACCAGCCTAACTACTCTTAGCGCCTATACCAATCTTTTCAAGCTAGCAATAGCTTATATATTTATTTTGAATATTTTTAAACCACTATAGCTTTAAATATAAATATATATTAACCTACTTCTTGATTTTATATGAAAGTTACTTTTTAGTAATCAATCGATATATAAAATTATAAGAATAATAAGTATATTATGATATATAATCAACTTAATTTATAGTAAAGTCTACTAGTAAAGCTTTAAGCCTAACGTACGCCTAATTAAGATTTTTTTATAGTACTTTAAAGATACTCTACGCATAGGCTACCTTTATAAATATAAAAAATATAATACTACTCTTAAAAATATACGCTATGATAAGTATCAAAAAAAGCTACGCTAATATTACTAGTAGTTTTAGTATTTATAGCTATAATATCTTATTATTTACTGTATGAAAAGTTTTTTAAGTAGCTAGTTATTGTAAGAGGCTACGCCTAAAGTGTGTGTGTGATCGAGTATATCTATACGACTACCTAGACTTCAAGAAGCTTGAAGTCTTGTTACTGCCTTTTTGGCTATGGATGGCGTAAGTAGTCGTACGCTCGGCCCGTTGGGCCCGCCCATTACAGTTATAATAAAATAAAGCTAATAAAAAAGCTTAAGTTAATCATAAAACTAAAATAAAAAAGAGTTAGGTAGTATTTTACTTATAAAGATGAAATACTTAAAGATTGAAAGAATATTATTTAACTAGTTAGGTAAAACCTTTATCATTCTTAACTACTATTATAGTACCTATTATGTATAGTAATGCTTGAATGAACTCTTTACTAGAACTATTATTTAAAAGTAGTAAAAAGGCTACTTTAAATTTATATTTTAAAGCTACTTTATATATTACTATAAAAGTTCTTACTATAACTATTTAAAAGCTTAAAACTATATAAAATAAGAAACATACTACTTTCTAAATTGAACAGTTAAATAAAGCTCTAAAGCCTATTATAAAAGAGGCGTAGAAGCTTATAATGAGTATAAAAAAGCTTAAATTATATAATAAGTTTAGTAGAGTTTTATGATAGAGATAAGTAAAAGAAATAAGTAAGCTAGCTTATAAAAGTAGTTATAGTACAGAGGGGTGACACGAAAAAAACGTCACTCAAAAAGTTGTTATTTGAAAACTGTGATATATAGCTGGAAAAAATAGCTGAAAATAAACGGATTGCAGATCTAGAAAGCCAAGATCTCCTAGTTTGGCAAAGTGGACCCACTATCTGCTTAGTCAGCAGCCCTGAGCAAACAGAAATCCCCAAACTAGAAGCTTGAATAAATCTAAACTAAATATCTAGATTACTCTATTGTTTTTATATAAAAAGGTCCAAGTCTAATATATATTATAGATCTATCTTTAATCTCCAAGCTCTGACTGTTGTAGTATACCTTTACTAGTTAGATCACGTGATATATAGAAGAGTCTAATTTTTTAGAGTATATTTATTTCTCGCTAAGAATAGAAGCTAATATGTAGTGTACCAGCCCTTAGCTTCTACTGCAGCTTGCCAACGCCTAGGTAGAGATAAAATACAATTATCTATATCCTGTCGAGGAATAGCTTGCCACTCTTCAAAAATAGCCCTAGTAAAAGCCGCTATACTCTTCTGGTTATTACCTAAGCCTAAAAAGGATCTAGATCTTTTAGATAAATGGTTTTTAAGTAAACTCCACACATTTTCTATTGGATTAAGATCTGGACTGTAAGGTGGATGAGGGAAGCCTTCAATTGAATTTCTTTTAAACCAGCTGAAAACGTTTTTAGTAGTATGCATTCTGAAGTTGTTCTGCTGAAACTTCCAGCCTAGATAGTAGTTAGTTATATCTATCATATATCCGAATTTATGATTTATAGCTCTTTAATCAGGTGTGCTAGATTAATTTTTAGATATAAAAATGTATATATTACTTACCTGGTTTTATATTAGGCTTTACTTTAGGTATTAAAACCTTACGGATATATTGATGATTATTGAAGTGTGGAGAAGAATTTGGAGCCCGAATTACTACTAGATCAGATCTACCACCTATCCAAATTGCTCCCCAAACTTGGATAGTAATATCTCTAGCTATAACTCTATTAGTAAGCAAGCTAAAAATCGATTGAGATGTTGATAAAATACTAGACTAAAAATAGATACTTTTAGCCCATCAGGATTTTTTTAACTTACATCTATTGGCTGTAGAAACTTGTTCTCGACCTTGGCGCTTATTTTGGCGTTTTCTTACATATTCTCCTCTATATCCTCGGCCTCTTTGGATTGCTGACTCATCTGAAAATATTATCCTATCTAATCTACTATTCGATAGATTTTTCAGCATATTCTTAGCGTATTTTAATCCATTTTTAGCTTTTTCTTTGTTTAAAATTGAATTTTTCTTTGCAATATTAATAGAATAGCCCTCTCTTTTTAAAAATCGCTGTAAAGTTCTAGTTGAAATATTGACGTCATTTTCAACTAATAATCGGCGATTTGTCTTTTTAGGGCTCCTAGTCAAGTCTCTATTAATAGATCTTTTATCTCTTTCTGAAAGCTTTGAAACTCCGCCTCTACTAACTCTTTCAAGCTTTCTTTTCCAATTTTTTTTCTTTTTAAATCAATAAATAGCGTCTCTAATAGTTTTAGGTGGCTTACTAAGTAAAATAGATATATTTTTAATGGCTATATTTGCCTTTAACAAACGGGCAACTTCAGCTTCAAATTTGAAAATTTTGGATCCATAGTGAGGAATTAAGAAATCAGAAATTCAGGATAGAAAGAATCAAATATATAGTATATCATGACTAATCAGGCTTAGTGATACACTAAACTTAATTTTGTAACTTTGTCTTTAGAACTTAATATTTAATTCTAGAGGATTGCTAAAAATAGAAAAAAACATGTCACGTGATCTTCTATATATAGACTATCACATATCTCAAAACTAAGCCTTTCTAAGTAAGGACTATTGTTTTACAATAAAGGAAATTTTTATTATTTTAGTCTCCTAAATTCTATAATTTTTTTCCGCTCAGAGCTGCTGACTAAGCAGGAGGTTGGCTTACTATGCCAAACTAGGAGATCTTGGCTCTCTAGATCTGCAATCCGTTTATTTTTAGGTATTTTTTCTAGCTAGATATAAAAGTTTTAAAATAACAACTTTTTAAGTGACGTTTTTTTCGTGTCACCCCTCTGTAGTATTAATTAGCAGTATTACTAAACTCGAGTTCTTATTTTAGAGCTAATTTCTTTCATAAAAAAGTACTAAAAAGAGAAACTATATATTTTTATTTAAAAAAATAAAATACTTTTATATACTTACTACGCTTAAAAAACTATGTACTAAAATACTAAAGTAGAGTACTTCTTATAGCTAAGTAATTTACTTAATCTTAATACTATCAAAGTAGCCTAGCTATAGCTTGAAAGAAAAATAATATAAAAAGGTATACTAAAAAGTTAAGTAAAAGAGATAAAAGTATAGTAATAGTACTAAGATAAGATACCTTAATACTAAATTTAAGCTTAGATAGAGCGTATATTATTTGATATTTGAAAAATTATTAAACTTAAAGGTAGTAATGAGTATAAAGAAAGGCGGCGGGACTAATCTATATAGCTTTAACCTTATTTTTGGCGGTAATTAATGCACCTCTGTTAGCAAGAACTTTTGACAGTCACCTCCGTATACTGACGACACTCGGCGGACAAGCTTTGGCGTCACCGAGCCAGAGCCAACGCCGCGTCTCGTGCAGCACATGCGGTGTACGTGGACTGCATCTGTCTCTCTGCCTGTCTCTCTGCCTGTCTCTCTGCCTGTCTCGCCGCCTGTGCCTGTGCCTGTGCCGCCCGCCTGGCCGCCTGGCCTGCTGCTTGGCTGTGATTCTCGCGTGCACGGCGGCCATCTCAAACACTCGGGCCCCTCGCTCGTGTCGTGGTCGATGGAATCAGTACAATGCGAAACAGAACGGGACCCGGAACCCACGGCCTTTTGGACAGCCAACGGCAACCGGCGCAGCATGGGGACGAGGGGGGGGTGGAGAGAGAGAGGGAGAGGAGGGGGGGGCACTACCTAAAATAAACCGCGAGGATGGCGGCATGGCGGCGCCGAGAAGCAATAGGAGGGCGTCGGAGCGTGCGCACCCTGCCATGGCCTTCGTTTTCGACTCGACGACGCGGGCAGCTTGCCCAAGCCGGCTGCAATCCCCCTGTGGCGATCCTGCTGCCTCTCAACCGGCGCCCAGCCGCCCCAAGCCGCTTTCGGACATGGCTGCATGGCCCGTGCCCTCCCGCTTTTCGTGCCTGTAAACCAGCTCAATCCCGTTGCAAGTTGCAGCTTCTTCTTCTTCTCTCGCCCCCCCCCATCGCACTGCGCTTGCGAGAGACGTCTTTCGTCCATGGTCTGCATCTGACTTTGCACCTTTGCTGCGTTTCCTTCCCACCCCTACACTCGTTTACCCCCGCTCCGCAAAGACTAGCCCGCCAGTGCCCACGACCTGCGTGCGCTACCACAGCCGCCCCCAGACGCTCCCGCCAAGCGCCACTGCCGCCGCTGTCAACAACTAAGCAGTTTGCAGAACACGGCATTGCTCCCACATCGCCACGTCTCGCAACTACGGGCGTCTATTTTCTAGCCTCGTGCCACTGCTGCATTGCAAGCTTCGCTGCCTGGCTGCACGCAGTGCGACGCCGCCGCCTTTCATATTGTGTAGACAGCCGCCCAAGACAAGCACCCTCGCTCGCTTTCTGCCTTAACGACACTACGAATATACATATCTAATCTTTTCTTTTCACCATGGACCCGCCCAGCCTCATGGGCCTCGTTGCCCGAGCGGATGAGAATGGCATTCCCGACATCACCGACCCGTGGCCAACAAAGGATGTGAGTGTTTCCCCTGCAAAGCCCGTTGTTTGCAAACAAACTGACGCTGGCAGATTGTTTACGTTTCCGTCATTGCCCCTCTCATGTTGATGGCGCTGCTCGAATGGTTTCTCTGGGTAGCCGCCTTTCTCTACTGCATCGTCAAGGTTTTCCAAAAGGCCGAGACGGTCAGTGTGCGCATCCTATCCATTTTCTTCGGTCTTCTCTTCTTCGCCCTCCGGTAGGTTTCGCTGTCCGACTAGCCAAGGCTATAACTGACGCATTCAGTGCTATTTTCCTGCCCATCATGGTGGTCACGCTGCCGCTCCCCCCGCAAGTCACCAAATACTTCCCCAACGAGATGGTTGGCTTCCTTCAGTGGTTCGCCTTCTGGTCCTTTGCCGGTCTTCTGACGATCCCCTGGCTGTTCTGCGTCTACCAGCTCGTCACCCACTCGGTTGGTCGCGCTCGCAGGATCAAGTCGGTCCTTGACGAGGCTTCGGCGCCCAAGGTCGTCATCGTCATGCCTTGCTACAAGGAAATCCCCGAGATTCTGCTGCGAACCTGCGACTCGCTCGTCGACTGCGAATACCCTCCCTCCTGCCTTCACATTTTCCTCTCCTTCGACGGAGACCAGGAGGACGAGCTGTACCTGCACACCATTGAGAAGCTCGGTGTGCCGCTCACGCTCGACACGTACCCCAAGTCCATCGACGTCATCTACCGTAGCTGCCGCATCACCATCTCTCGTTTCCCTCACGGTGGAAAGCGTCATTGCCAGAAGAGGACCTTCAAGCTCATCGACAAAATCTACACCGAGTACCTCAAGCGCAACGACAACCTGTTCGTGCTCTTCATCGACTCTGACTGTATTCTTGACAAGACGTGCATCCAGAACTTCATGTACGAGATGGAACTCAAGCCTGGCAGCAAGAAGAACATGTTGGCTCAGACCGGTGTCATTACGTCTACGACGGAGAAGCAATCGCTCATCACTCTTCTTCAGGATATGGAGTACGTCCACGGTCAACTGTTTGAGCGTTCCGTCGAATCTGGCTGCGGTGCTGTCACTTGCTTGCCCGGTGCTCTTACCATGCTTCGATTTTCCGCCTTCCGCAAAATGGCAAAGTACTACTTCGCTGACAAGGCGGAGCAATGCGACGACCTCTTCGACTACGGCAAGTGCCACTTGGGCGAGGATCGTTGGCTCACCCACTTGTTCATGCTTGGTGCGAAGGAACGCTACCAGATCCAGATGAACCCCGGTGCTTTCTGCAAGACGGAAGCTGTGCAAACATACCGATCACTCCTCAAGCAGCGTCGCCGATGGTTCTTGGGTTTCATCACCAACGAAGTTTGCATGTTGACTGATATCCGTCTCTGGAAGCGCTACCCTATTCTCCTCGTCATTCGTTTCATGCAGAACACGATCCGTACCACCGCGCTGCTCTTCTTCATCCTGTGTATCTCGCTCATGACCACATCGCAAAAGGTCAAGAACCTGCCCGTCGGTTTCATTGCCATTTCCCTCGGACTCAACTGGCTTCTCATGTTGTACTTTGGCGCCAAGCTCGGCCGTTACAAGATCATGCTGTACCCTCTCATGTTCGTCGTCAACCCCTTCTTCAACTGGGTGTACATGGTCTACGGTATCTTCACTGCTGGTCAGCGTACATGGGGAGGACCTCGTGCTGACGCCGGAACCGCCGACGCCAAGACCACTCCTCAGGAGGCGATTGAGAATGCCGAAGCTGCCGGTGATGATCTGAACGTCGTTCCTGAGACCTTCAAGGCTTCTGCCGAGGCCAGCAAGCACCGCACTGGCGCTGCTCCTCTGCAGCCATCCGACAACATTGACGGACGCTTCGCTGCTGCAGAACGCTTGCCCAACGGATGGTACCAGCAAGGCAACGACTCTGGTCTCACTCTGCCCAACACTATGCCCCGCAATCCAAACGTTCCTCACATTCCCCTGCACCCACGCGCTTCGATGGACTCTTTCGCCTCGTACGACACTTCTGCCAACAACTCGGTCTACCTACCTCGCCGTGTCGAAAGTTTCATGGATCCTGAAGATGCTCGTGTGTACCACAAGGCTCAGCAGACGCAGAAGCCTGCCGGTGGCGCCTTCTTCGAGGAGCCTCGCGCTGGACCATATGAAGTCGGTGTCAGCAAGGGCCTCTACAGCGAATCTGTCGACTCGATCGACGACGACTCTGTCTACCAGTCCAAGGGCCCACAACGACCTGCGCAAGGTGGCGCTCACGCACCCACACGCACATCGCCTCTCTCCGCTGAGCAGAACAACACGCCCCTCGACTCGCCCAAGCCGTCTTACAACCGGTCACACAGCATGGACCAACGACAGGGACGCAGCCCCCTCGCCTACGAGAGCTTCTCGACTCAGCCAGGTGAGGACATTGAGCTTCAGGCTCCCCAGCAAAGCAGCCTGATGCGTGATGTATCACCTGCGCCGCTTGGTCAGCCCGTTATGCCTGGTGCTGGCCACGGACGTAGCGACTCAACCGACTCGAAGAAGCGCAAGAGGCTCAGCAAGGCGAAGCCCAGCAAATAAGCGTTAGTAGTCTAAATCAACGTATTGATTTTTGTTCCATCTACAGCTGAGATGGTCGCACGATACGGCGTTTCAGCACTGCCATTTCCTTGTTGTTTTGCACACGTTTGTATGCATTCGGATTCCCGGCGTTTGAAGCGAATTTCCGCACAGCACAAGACGTGTCTTTGCAGCCTTTTGCTCGGTGTACATAAAATGGTTGGTTATCTCTATACGACAATGGGGGGGGGGGATGGCTGGAAATTTACGGGTTCGGCCGCACGACGTCGTCGTGCGAATTATGACATGGCGTCGCTCCCGACACAAGAGGTCTCAATTTGAGCAATAGCCTTTGTTGGTTATATTTAGGTGAAGAGGGCCATGTGACGGACCAGCCAAAATTACCTTTTTGCTTAATGTCTAGAGTATGTCTTATACAAGACGAAAATCGATATATTATTGCTCCTGAGCCTGGGTTGACCATGTTTCCATGTGATGTTTCTATTATAGTAGAAGTGGCGGCGTCGTTATGGTCAGCATATGACTTGTCTCTCTCTCTCTCTCTCTCTCTCCATCTCTCACGTCAGCCACGGGCTGCGCCTAGACGATGCCCGCAGTCTTCTTCCCCGCTTTTTGAAACAGTTCTGGATGGTCAATGGCATACTGCGCGCCGGCCGCCCAATGATACAGCTTGGCCGCAATGACATAGCCCTCATTTGCAAACTCCCCAAGACGCGAGTATAGCTCGGCCACGGGGATAATGACACGCTGGATGTCCTCGCCCTCGTCCAAATGCTGCTCTGGCTCCGCGTCGCCCTCGTGCAAGTGAATCTCCACCATGCACAAGCACATATTCGCGCTCGTCATGCCGGGATCGGCGGCGACGGCCGGCGACGTCGACACCACCGTCCCCTTGTACCCGGTCTCCTCGTAGAGTTCACGCACGGCAGCCTCCTGGGGCGACTCGTCCTTGTCGATCAGGCCCGCGGGCCACTCGACTGTGAAACGGCCGACGGGCGGGCGGAACTGCAGCACCACTATTGTCGACGCGGGCTTGCCCGGCTGGTAAATTATATTGCCCATGGCTACCGCGTCGATGCCCGCGGCGCCCGTCGTTTTGCGGCTCGCAAGTTCCCATTCGCGCTCCGCGCCCTGCGCATCCACGTACGTTGCTTTTTGCAGCTGGATCCATTTGGCGTCGGCAGACGCGAGGGCGCTGAGCGATTTGATTTTCGGGGCTGACGCCATTTCGTGCATTCTGGGAAGACGAATGATGATAATCTCATGCCACTACAATCTGAAAATTAGTATATTCACACGGCGGGGCCTCGTAACACTGATTTCGCAACCCCCCCCCCCCCACCGACCTTGATACGGCTAGTGCTACCTACCTATCCGTATCTGAGACTCGCAAACGTCATCCGTTACACGTGCGGCCAGGTTTTGCACGTTTAACCAGAAACAAAGAAAAATAAATAAACTCAAATAAAGAACGTACCAGTTGCCGACAGCGCTGCAAGCAGTATCCCGCATTGAAAGGTGTGAGGCGAGAAAGGAAGAAAGGAAGAAAGGAAGGGGTGTGTGATGTTAACGACGCTATTCTTCAAACAAAAGCCACTCTCGGCACCTTCATAACCAAAGCAAGCATCATCCATTCTCGCGCGATTGCACCACCGCTACACACACACACCCCGCCATCGCTCCCCCGCGTTTCGCAACCTCAGCACCAAACGCCTCAGCGCTCGTCTCCCGCGTCAAACCCCGTAACAAAGCAAGCAAAAAAAAAAATGTACTCATGGCTGGAGCTGCAGAGACGTCAATCCAAGTTGCATGTACTTGATGATTGCACGACGCTTCTGCATTAGCGCCAGGAACGAACAAGCCAGCACAGTCCTGCGCAACGTCATGGAAAAGCCATCGGATAAGCTTGGTGGTTTATCGATACCTACACGCACTGCTATGACTGTGCTCGTTCTCAGTATGCAATTATCACTGACTGACCATTGAGCCCATTTCCCTCATGCTTGTTTGATATCCTTAGCCCGAGAATACCTAGTCTTTGCCTGATTGCCCATTTCAACATTGTCAGTCATGTTTTCGTTGCGCGCCCTGTCACGTGCCAAACCAACCACAACCCATCATCCCCGGACTCTCTGTAGAGCCTTTGCATCCAGCACACGCCTCAATGCTGACTTCACACACGCCGTAGTGGGCGGCGGCGTCGTCGGGCTCGCCATAGCACGGAAACTACAGTCTCGCCCCTCAGCGTCAACGGTGCTGATTGAAAAACACAGCGCAGCAGGCACAGAAACCAGTTCGCGCAACAGCGAAGTCATACACGCCGGCCTCTACTACGGGCCGTCATCCCTTAAAACCAAGCTCTGTCTGCGCGGCAAGCAACTCCTATATGAGCTCTGCGCCAAACACGGCATTCCGCACCGCAACACGGGGAAATGGATCGTAGCGCAGGACGCCTCGCAAATGGGTGCGCTGGAGCAAATCCACGACTTTGCAAAAAGCATCGACGTGCCCACGAGGTTCCTTAGTAAAAACGAAGCCAGCACCCGCGAGCCCGACGTCCGCGCCGAAGCAGGCGTGCTCGAGAGTGCATCGACGGGCATCGTGGATTCCCACAGCCTGATGCAGTACCTAGAAGGGGATTTCGAGAACAGCGGCGGCATCTGCGCCTTCAATTCGCCCGTCACGCGTATCACGCCGATCGATGCTGGGCGCGGCGGCTGGGAAATCAGCACCACGACGGCGACGACAAACGACGGCGACGACGACGACACAACGAGTATCACAGCGGAAACACTAATCAACGCCGCAGGGCTCCACGCCGTCGCCCTCTCCAACTCCATCCTGCCAGCTGACCGCCAGAAAAAAGCCTTCTACGCAAAAGGATCTTACTTTTCGTACGCGGCCTCTCGACCCCGCGTCAACACGCTCATCTACCCGGCTCCGGTGCCCGGCCACGCAGGCCTCGGCACACACCTTACGCTGGATCTCTCGGGCCGCATTCGCTTCGGGCCCGACGTCCAGTGGACAGACTCGCCCTCCGACTACGCGCCCAACACGGCCAGCCTGCCCGCCGCCATCGCAGACATCAAGCTGTACCTGCCGCGCGTGGACCCCACCGCCATTGCTCCGGATTACGTGGGCATTCGCCCCAAGCTCGGCAAGCTGGCCGCAACAAGTGGTCCCGATTTCCAGGATTTCTACATTGTGCGAGAGCAAGGGTTCGAGGCGTGGGTCAATTTACTCGCCATTGAGAGTCCCGGGCTTACCAGTTGCTTGGCGATTGCTGAGGAGGTGGAGCGTTTGTTGTATGCATGAATCTTCTTCTTTTTCTCCTTTTCGAATTGATCTTGGGCGTGAACATTCTGTGCCTTGTAGAAATAATCAATTGGTGGTGGTATATTGGAATCTAGCGCGTGATGGGTTTACAAACGACATAAATGTACAACATGGCATGTCGAAAAACATTTAAACAGTCAAAACCTGTACTACAGGCATTAATCTATACACTTAACACTTGTTTAAAAAAAACGAACACCAAGATTCTACCTCTCATCCTCAATTTGCCTCCTCAAATCCTCCAAGGCGGCCTTCCGATTGTCCAAATGTCCCTGTAGTCCCTCGACTTGCTCTCTGACGGTTTCAATCTCCTCTCTGATACCCGCTAGACCCTTGACAGCACCACCCTCGTCGTTGTCCAGCTCTTTGAGCACATTCCGCTTGTAGTCGAGCAAGAGCTCCAGCTCGCGCTTGACCAGCGCCGGTTTACTGTCCTTGTTGCGTCCATGCCGCCGCTTCTCCGCCTCCTTCTCCACATCTGCAATCTTTTGCTCGAGCTCACGCAGTTGCTTCTTTAGCCGCACCTCCTCCCAGTCTTCTGTTGTGCGACCGCCGAAATCTGTGCCCTTGCCGCCTCGCGCGCCGTAGGTATTGGCGCGATCGCCCACACCGAGCCGTGTGAGGTATGCGTCGCCAAACTTGGCTTTGCGGCCTGTCGAAGTGCTCTCGTCGCGCGTAGCCGCCCACCGCGAGTTGGCCGTGGAGTTGAGGTCGTAGTCAATGTTGCCCTTTTCAAAGCTGACGCGGAGAGACGGGGGAACGCTACGCGGAACGCGGAACCCTTCGCTTCGTTGGTTGAGAATATGCAGGAACGCCAGCGCAGCATCCTTGCCCACGCTTTCCCTCGCCTTGGGATTGACCAGGTTCCATGCGAAGCGTATGTCCGAGTCCGGCACGTCCTCCAGGCTCTCAAACAAGCCGGCCAGGCTGTCAAAAGCGATATTGCCATGGCCGTCGCGGTTCGCAGTGTAGATTTCCTCGTATTTAGCCTTGTCGCCCGGCGACATGTACCAGTCGAAGCCGTCGCGCAGACCCGGCGTGTCGTCATCGTCCTCGACCGTCTCGTATGCGGGTTGGGAGCCGGTGAGGGCGCGAGTTGCCTGGACAAGGTGTGCTTTTGATTCGGGAACAAGCCAGTCGGGAAGGACCTTGGGCACGTCTAGTGATACCTATAGGGCTCTTGTTAGCCTGCGAACGCCGTCAGCGCCCAAGCGGCGACATACCCCGTTGATCAGGTCAAAGATGAGTCGCATCGCCACGCAAAACTCCTCAAAGTCCAGCTTGCCATCGTTGTCCACGTCTGCCAAGTCCCACACCCGCTCTAGCTGGTCGTCTCTGAGGTGTGAGTTCTTGAGGACGGGGGCTGCTTGCGCGCCGTCGAGATGTGTGCCGCCATTGCTGAGAGAGCTGAAGATCTCCCAGTACTTTTCAATTTCGTCCTGCTCGATGCGATTCGGCGCCATGTTTTGGACAATTATTATATATGGGGGTTCGGGAGAGCAGAGCTGATCAAGGCGGTTGGGGTGACGTTCAAGGGTGCTGTTGCGGGTTGTCGGGGATGGCGGAGCTCTGGCCGCGGCTGGGTGGTTACGTACCGTCGTCGGGCTGGGCTGCTACTCACTGGCCCAGCCCGCAACACTTCATGCCTCACCACCACACCATATGCTCACGTGCTGGCCACCATGCCCGTCTCGCTTCTACCAGACCACGAATTCACGTACAAGGCAGGCAACCTATTCTCAGTGCAGTTCAATTCAATACCTGTTTACATGGAACAAGTAGCTACTCCTTATTATAATAGTTACATCAACCCAACCATGTAAAACATAGCCCAAAATCCAGAGACCGACATTTTCCTATATAGTTGCGCCCCAGTGCAAAGTATACAAAGCAAGAAAAGACAGGATGCGTCGTGCAAGGTGACACATAGAAAGATAAAACACCGCTAAATGCAAATAAACTCAGTTTTGCCTTTACATCATGTTGGCGAGCTCATGGTCAATGGCTTGAGTAAGGAAAATCTTCCTCTCGCCGGTAAGCTGCACCTGCAGCCGCTGCTCAGCGAGCGCAATAATTTGCTTACGCGTCACCCTATCAAGGTCGGCGTCCCGGAGACACGCCTGCACAGTCTCGATGATTTGCCCGTCACTGGGGCCGTTCATCATGCTCTGGAAGTTTGTAGTACTGCCTGGGCGTGACTGACTGACACCATAGCTCAGAGGGCTGCGTCCACGGATAGGCGGTGTGGATGCCATGAGATTGTCTGAGCTCTGGAAGCCGGCCATACTCTGTCGTTGACCATACGGCGAGGCCGACTGGTTGCGGAAGCTGTCAGTTACACTGCCCGACACGGCCCGGCTGTCTTGCGGGTTGTCCTGGTAGCGAGTCATGTGCGAGTAGGTCGACTGGCGCGCGTTGAGGCCCTGGTAGGGACCAGGAGACTGGGGTGGCATGTGCGAGATGTGCTGCATGTTGGACATGACGGTAGATGCTGGCTTAACCGACGAGTAGACGGATTGCATGTCGTTCATTTCGTAAGCCTCGTCCTCGTATGCGTTGAAGCCGCCCTTCTCTGTTCCCATACCAGGAATACCACGGCGACCAGGGAGATCGTTGCGCTCGGCGTACTCGTCCCATCGCATCATGGGAATAGACTTGGGGTCAAAGCCTTCTTCGTCGGTAGTGAGCACCTGCTTGGTTCCTTGCTCGCCGATGACGATACGCGTGTTACCCCAAGAGAAATCATCCTGCTTCCAGAACGAGTAAAGCGGAAGTGCCAGAGAGTGAATAGGGAAGGCCATGATGTAGATGATCATCCATCCGACGTGTTGCCATTGGCGCTTGATGATGAAGATGAGTGCCTGGAGACCGTACACAGCTGCAAGCATGATGATCGAGAGCAGGGGGAATTGACCCTTGCCGGTAGAGACAGTGTACACCAAGTAGATCAGGTATGCGCAGATGGACGGGAGAACGAGGGTACCGAAGAGATCGACAAAGACGACGAATCGCATGGAGAAACAACAAAAACCGCAGAGATCCTTGAGGAAGACGAGCTCAACCAAATTGTGAATGGTAGAGTTAATCCATCGACGTCTCTGTGAAAGCAGAATGCTCCAGGTATCGGGAGCGGCCGTGAGAGCGTAGGCGTCAGGGACAAACTTGTACGACATGGAAGGGAAGTGCTTGGTCATCAGAGTCGTCAGGTAACGATCCTCACCAAGCGAAAGCAGGTTCTTCTTGTGCAGCGTGTCGACAATGCAGTCAGCATAATCTTTGATGATCTTGTCGGCAATAATCAGAGGCTTGCCCTTGTCGGCGGTGCGCAGACGGTACATGGTGAAACTACAGCTTGTTAGCAATTATTCCGTTGCCAGCTCATGACAAAAGGACTTACCATCCAGGCAAACAAGTAACGCTGCCAAACAAACTCTCAAAGGCCTTGGACAGATGATGCGAAATGTAGTACTCGTAAACTTGGATCATAGTCCACCAAGACCGGTCCTCGTTCTCCAAGCTCGTCTCACCGCAAATACCGGCAATCTTGGAGTCGTGGGCACAGGCTGCTACAAGACGGTTGAGAGAATCGGGCTTGACCATGGTATCGGCGTCAATCATGAGCAAATACTCGTACAGCTCTGGATCCACACCGATGATGTTGTTGATTTGATGGAACATTTCGAGTTCGAGGGGGTTCATGGCGGAGCGGTGGTGAACACGGTTGAGGAAGCTCATGAGCAAGATTTGAGAGTCTCGCTTACCACGGTTACCAGGCTTGGACTTGTGCTGTTCGGATTCTTTGCCCATCTTGACAACCACAATGTACGGAACGACGTTGCCCTCGAACTCGTACAGACCAGAGTAAACCTTGCCGTAGTTCAGCTGCTGACTTCCCTCGCCAACCGACCAGAAGGGAAGCGCAGGTGGGTCAACCTTTGGATCAACACCAAGAATGTCGAGAACAATCTTGGGCGTAGGGCGATCGTTACCACCACCGACAATCATTCCGTCGCAAATAACACAAATGAGCTTGCGCTTGTTGTCATAGGCAAGTGCCGTGAGGGAGTCTACACTCTTCCGGATAGAGTCCTCGCCTTCAGTGTATGCTGGCACCTGGCAAATGACAAACTTGTCCTGGTTGGCTGGGCGCTTTCGAGAACCAAGTTGGAGCGCAGCCAGAAACTTCACCACAATGACCGTGCAGAGGAGGATACTGACCGCAAGCAAGATCCAGTCGTTGACCGTACACCTTGCGCTGTCGCGGAAATCCGTCTTACCAACGTAGAATAGGTTATCCAGACACTGCAGATTGTATGCTCGTGCAGTGTCATTGAGTTGGTTCTCAAAGTCCGATGAGATTTCTTGGCCCGCGTTGTTCTTTACCAAGTCGACTAGTTTGGGGTCCAGAAAGTTGTACTGGGGTTGGTCTTGCATAAAGTTGGTCGTGACGAAGTAGTCGGTTAAATCATAAATCTTGTCCTTGAGCATAAACCACATGTGGTTCTCGTTGGTACCCTGACTTTTGACATCTTTTTCTTTCCACACAAGATCACCCTTCCTGTACTGCGTGATGGCAGGGAGGAACACTTTGGGGTACCAATCTTCCTGTTTCAGTGCTTTACTGTCGGGCATGTTCGTTTGTGATCCAGAAGTGTGTACAGCCAGCGAGTTCAGGTTCTGTGCCTCGGACGTGTTGAGCTTCAACTGCAGGACGCGGTTTTGAGGCGTGTCCTTGATCAGGTTGGGGCAAGCGAGGTATAGCGGTGGAATGATGTATGGGTTCATGTTGGCGCCGGCCATCTCCATCATACGCTCATTGGTAGTCTCAATGTTGGAGTCACTGTGTTGCCGCCTCCAAAAGGACGTCAAGTCATATACGACACCATAGTGGCTGACAAAATAGTCGGCTGCGCCCTGATGCTGCGACACCTCTTTCTGGTTCCACACCTTGTCTTTCTGGGGACAAATGAGTTTACCGAAAGCGACAATGTAGAAGACAATGGTGACGTTGAGCAGCGTGATGAGCAGGACCAAAACAAACTTCTCTCGCCATGCCAAGCGAACATCGGGTCGTTTCATTCGGCCAACCCATTTCAGGAGCGGCGAGGGAATCCAGAAGGTCATGGCCCAGACAAATCCAACCCACAGCCTTCGGGTGCCGGTCATGGGGGTTTCAGTGACGACAGCATTGCCGGATGACTCAAGATCATAGTATGACACGCCCTTGTTTTCGTCGCCCTTCTTACCAAGACCGTAATCACCGGGTCCTGTTGTAGGGACTGTACGAGCAGTGGGAGCGATGGACTTGGCATCCGCAGTTCCGGCTCCGTGCAGGCTGGCCGCGCTCTGAAACGGGTTCTGGGGAGTCGCAGATCGCATCTCGGGAAGGGGCGGGAAGAAGGTGCTGGCCGTGGGGGGAAGCGTGTTGGGATATCCATTGTCCATGTGAGCGCCGCCAGGCATGCCCCCGAGCATGGAAGACTCAAGCTCTTGTGTCTTGAGGTCAAGCTGCGACTCGGCCTCCCACCATACACCCTCTCGTACCCACACACGCTCCTTGCCTACCACGACTTCGCCGTTGCTCCAACCACGCTGAAGAATCCAGTTCTGGATACCTTCTTGACCATCCATGCAGCCAAGGGGCGCATATCGGTCGTGGAACTCGTGGTGATCAAAATCGGCAGTGAAGTCGAGGTTGCGGTTGCGGCGGTTTGCCCATTCGGGCAGGCGCCACTCACGTAGCTGTCGAGAGATTACGCCAGCTTGCCAAGTGGAGTTCAAGTCCTGGTTCAAGGACGTGGGAATGTTGTCGGAGGGGTGAAGCGCGAGCTGGAACCAGACTCTGCTGCTGGCTACAGTGAGAGCTAGGTCAAAACGGCCGTGCTTGCCAAGAACAATGCCGCCATTTGGCACAGGGTTGAGCAGCTGCTTGACAAAGTTGGCCTCGTCGGGGATCTCGAGAGCAAGCTTGTCGAGGGCGGCCTCGCGCCTCTCCAAATCAGCTTCCTTTTCGCGCGTAGCTGGGCCGTTCAAGCCCAGCTCAATACTGCAGGTCTGCACGGCATCCCTCATGCCCTCAAGGACTGAGTTGGCAACTGGCGGCACAGGTACACCGTCTTCACGCATTTCTGCGTTGATGCCTTCACTGTCGTCGAACACGGTGCGTAGCGCGACCGCCTTGCCGAGCGCACGACTGGGGATATCGACAACAGTAATGTTGACAATGTCACCGTCCTCGGGCTCACCAGAAGCGTACATGCCACTGCCATCGCTGCCATCATAGCCAGCCTTGGCGTGATGAATCTCCTGCTTGATGGAGGCGTTGGCATGAGCAATCACGTAGTCCACAATGGACTCGTAGAGGCCACCAATGGCGACTTCGCGCTCGTTGGAGCCCAGCTTGTGTCGGAGGGTGCCCTCGGGCAGATCCATGAGCGTCTCGACATCCTCGCACACAGATGCAAGGGCTTCCTCATCCATGAAGTAGTCCAACGTGTTGCCCAGCTTCAGCAGACCAGTCAGACAACTGATGAGACTCGTTAGCTTGCTGCCCTTGATGCCGATAGCCTTGAGGTTTGCGCGGAAGTCCTCGGCGGCCGCGGCATCGTCGGCGTCTGGCAAGTAGGCCGGGGGCTCGTAAGTGCCCGAGCGGCGAAGGAGCGCGTATTTGTCGAGCGACTGGATATCCAGATATTCCCGCTCCTGCTTGGACGCTGAGCTCGAGTTGAGGTAGTAGAACACGTCAAAGGCGCGGAAGCCGGTCTGGGACGGAACCTGAAGCAGTCCCTGTTGCACATCAATGCCGGATGTGGAGAGCTTGATTTCGGCAGCAACAACGGTGCCGGCAAGGTTGATGGTGAAGATGGAGGCAAGTGCGGAGTAGCGGGGCATGGAAGGGTTTTGCGGGGTGACGCAGTGGGTGAAGGCCTTGAGAGCCTCGAGAGCAGTGTAGAAGTTGGAAGGGAGCGAGAGTGGCAGGCTGGACACGAAAGGCGACAAGAGCGAGGGGCTCGACTCGTGCAGCGAACTGGAGACGGTTAGCACACGTCCATGGGCTGCAGCGGTGCTTGGGGAGATGCTTACGCCAATACTATGCATCCGTCTTCGGCTCGGCGGCGGGCATGTTCCCATGCCTTTCGTCCCAGCTCCAGGTCGACGGTGCCGCCAATGCGGTTGTCGATGATGCTCTTCGAATTGACCCACGTGTTGACGACGAGGCTAGTGCTGGCCTCGAGGTTGTACGAGCGGCCATTCTTGTAGGCCGAGTTGAGTGTGTTGAGCAGCGTCGTGGTGGACGTGGTCGAGGACTGGGCTCCGCCGCGCGGCCCTGCGGCCGAAGCAGTCGAGTAGACCGACATGCGGGAGTTGTTGACGAAGCTCATGGTGACGGGCGGAGGCTGGTCGCCTCGTGAGCGGATGGGTGGGCGTCGATGCTATAACGAAGGGCCTTGCCCGGTGTAACGGCGTGTGTGGTGGTGCTGTCCTGAGGCGGTTTTCCCAGCGCGCCAGGGACGGGGACCCGGGCAGAGAAGGGGTGGGTGAGATGAGGGGAAAGGGGGGGGGAAGGGCAGAGATATTACACCCCGATGCTGGACGAGCAGCAGGCGGGACAGTAGCGAGTGGACGGATTAAACGACAGTATGGAGAAAGAACAAATGCACGCAACGAGAGGCTCGCCAAAGGCAGACTGAGAGCAGCCGGCGATGTTTGTTGGCCCAAGGCAGAGGGGATTTGCGGCCAGGCCCAAAACGGCGTGGTGCGGTAACATTACCAGTTAGGGGGAGTTAGCGGGGGCGCGGCGGCGGTCGGGCCCATGCAGCATCGAAGCATCAACACCAGCCCAACATGGATGGCGGGCTGGATCCGAGTGGCCACAGCCCAGCTGCTCCCATGGCCGCAGGACGTGCAATAATACGAGCGGGTGGCGCTGGCAGCACGGAAAAGTGGCCAGCCCCTATTTTTAGCCGGTTCATGGGCCCTTCAACGTCGCTCGCCGGGGAAAGGGCTTGCCGGCATGAGGAAATTGATAGCAATTGTTTTTGCTGCTGCTACCGACGCCCCATGGCCTCGCAGCCCATGGCGCGGGTCACGCTATCGATAAGACACAGGCGGTGGCCAGGGTGTGTGGAGATCGCTTCCGGCCTCGTCAAAGGCTTAATGTGCGGTGCAGGGGGCGGAGCGAGTGCATCGAGAAATCCACTAGGGCTCCCCCTTCATCTAGCCCTCATCTGCCCTACCCACAGCCGTTTCAACCTCACTAAGACGCCGAGTCAATTTCCACCATCCGCAGTTACCGGCCGCACATATGCACACGCCTCGCAATGGAACCCCAGCACGTGCAGACTGGCACTGTGCAGCCAAAAGACGTGTGGAGCACGGCGTACAAAAAAGACTGCTGCCACTGCGGCTGCAGCGAGACGATGCCCCCCGCCATGCTCGAGAGCGGAGCCGTGGGCCTCAACCAAATCCGAGCAGAGAAAGCGGTGCTGCTAGCTTGCCGCCGTCACGTGAGCGGTGCGCGCATGGGGGGCTGACGACTGGCACGACATGGCACGACGGGGCACAACGGGGCAAGACATGGGCGGCGGCGGCGAGGGCAGCGGGCGTTGGGATTGCCGCGCAATCGATACACCTTTGCCTGCTAGTGCATTAGAAGCTGCACGCAGCTGTCATCGTTCCCGCCACCGCGAACACTAGGGTACGCTGCTTTGCTTGTTCTCGCTCTCATGCTCACGGTGGTGGTGGTGGTGCCGTGGTGCTGGTGCTGCTCTGCTGCTTCTGTTGCAGCGTCCATGTGATTCCCCGCCCGGCTCGTCCGGCCGAGCAAAATATTAAAAAAAGAGATGAGCGAGACAAGAAAAAAGGAGCGAAGCCGGGGAGGCGTGTCAGCACCGGGCGTCGAACAGCCGCTCGCGCAGGCGGTGCTACACTGTTATGGCAATGCAGCAGATGCTCTGCTACTACGAGTACTACATGTCGCGGAGAAGAGCATCAGTCAGCAGTCGGACGGAGCCGCGCAGGCGCATGTGGATGCGCAGGTGCATGTGAGGGCAATAGCCCGCTTCTGCGCGTATCCTATTTCTATTTTTGCGCCCCCTTTTCGAGATCGCTGCGTCTCCTGGTCAACACGAACCACGCCGTGGCTGATGCGCCCGGCGGGCAAAGCCAGGCTAGCTGCTGGCAATTCGACGGCCCATGCGCCCCGTCGCAGCACACTGAGGCATTGAGAACACAAGGCCCCTTTGCTAGCAACAACCGTCAACGGTTCTGCACCTGCACCTGCATTTGCACCTCTCTCACCTTCGTTTGTTTCTCACACTCCCCCCCCTTCACCACGCTCGCTGCTTGTAATTCTTCTTCTCGGGGGCGTGTGCCAGCTCCGTCGCTTTTTCCCCCCTCGCCCTATTCCCCCTTCCCCCCCCCCAGCCCGGCAGCAGCCCTGTAGACCCAACACATTGAGAGCAACACTACAAATCCCATCCGCCGTCTGCCTGCCGTCTGCTCTGACGCCCGCTCCTGCCTGACGCCGCCTGTAGCTGTACGCGCCCACGGGGACGCGTCTGCCTGTCATGGCCTCCAACAACCCGCTGCAGAACCCGTCGCTGCCGTCGCTGCCCCAGCACCAGCAAAACGACACGGGCTTGACGTCTGCCCTTGCCAGCCGCTACCATGCACACCTCCCCATTGCCAGCCTCTCCTCGCAGGGCATTGTCGCCATCAACACGTGTACAGACTCCAGCATCGGTGTCGATGGCGGCAAGGAAGGAAGTGCACAGCAGGCCGCCGAGGACCTCACCCAGAGAGCCTACACGCGCCTCGGTCAGCGCTCCGAGGACCAGGCCGTTGTCTTTCTGTATGTCATGTCCCATCCTGCATTCGTGCCCTGCATCTAACCTCGCACAGCGGTGAGTCCGGCGCCGGAAAGACGACGATTCGCGGCCACATGCTGAGGGCCTTTCTCTCCTACTCATCTACGCCCCTGTCCAAGAAGATTGAGCATGCCAACTTCGTTTTCGATGCCTTCACCACGACAAAGTCCCTCACTACCCCGCAAGCCTCCAAGTCTGGTCTCTTATTGGAGCTCCAGTATAATACCGCCACCGCCAGCCACGCCACCCTCATCGGTGCCCAGTTCCTCGCACACCGTCTCGAGCGCAGCCGCATCGCCTCGGTGCCCACCGGAGAACGCACGTACCATGTCCTCTACTACCTCCTTGCTGGTACCAGCCTGAACGAAAAGAAGCACTTGTATCTCGACGCCGTGGGCGGCGATGGTTCCGGAGGCAACCGCGCTTCGCTCGGTGCAAACAAGAGATGGCGATACCTCGGCCACCCCACACAGCTCAAGGTTGGCATCGACGATGCCAAGGGCTTTGCTGATTTCAAGACTGCGCTGCGACGACTCGAGTTTGGCAAGGAGAGCATTGCCGGCATCTGCGAGGTCATGGCCACGATCCTGCACATTGGCCAGCTCGAATTTGAAATGGGCCAAAACACCACACCGGCGCCCGATGAGAGCGGTGGTTACTCGCACGAGGGTGGAGAGTCCATCACCGTTGTCAAGAACAAGGACTCTCTCTCTCCCATTGCCCAGTTCCTGGGTGTTTCCATTCCAGACCTGGAGCAGAGTCTGCGGTACAAGTCCAAGACACTGTACCGCGAGCGCGTCACGGTCATGCTTGACCCCAAGGGCGCGCGAGCCAACGCAGACGAGCTTGCCCGCTCTCTGTATTCGCTTCTCGTGACATATGTGATGGAGCAAATGAACTCCAGAATCTCTGTGCCTGCCGAGGAAATCTCCAACACCGTATCCTTGGTCGATTTCCCCGGTTTTGCCAACTTTGCCTCGACAGGTTCAGCCCTGGACCAGCTTCTCAACAATACCGCCAACGAATCGTTGATCTCCTTCTGCCAGGAGAGCTTTTTCCAACGTCAGATTCAAGAGCTCGAGGCTGAGGAGATTTCTCTGCCTCCAATGGCCTTTTACGACAACACGGCTGTCAAGACGGGATTGATGAAGCCGGGCAACGGATTGCTCAGCATTCTGGACGATCAAATGCGTCGCGGCAAGACTGACATGCAGTTCCTTGAAGCGATCCGCAAGCGTTTTGACGGCAAAAACCAGGCCATTGTCCCTGGCAGCCTCACAGTCGTGCAGCCGGGCAGCAACTTCCCTACGCCCAACACTTCGCCCACATTCACCATCCGTCACTTTACTGGTGACGTAGACTACAGCGTCGAGGGTCTGTTGGAGGAGAATGCCGAGCTCATTTCCGGTGACATGATGCATCTGCTCAAGTCTGCCCAGGCGCCCTTCATTCAGCAGCTCTTTGGACAGGAGGCTCTGCAGAAGATGTCACACCCCAAGGAAAAGTCTACCATTGTCCAAGCCACCGTCAGCTCCAAGCCTACGCGCCAGCCTAGCATGGCAAAGCGCAAAGCGGACAAGACCGGACGTTATGGACGCCCACTCAACGTGTTTGACGAAGACGCCATGAGCGATGCCGAGAGCACCATCTCAGGAACAAAGAAATCCGGTGATTCATCATCCAAGCAGGCCGGTGCTGCCGGTCAATTCATCAGTTCTCTTCGAACTATTGAGTCGACCCTACGCAAAGCCAACCCGTACTTTGTCTTTTGCCTGAAGCCAAATGACCGGAGGATTGCAAACCAATTCGACAGCAAGTGCGTTCGTCAGCAGGTGCAGGCTCTTGGCATTGCTGAAATCAGCCAACGTCTGCGCGTTGCCGACTACAGCATCTTCATGCCATTTGCCGAGTTTCTCGGTCTTGCTCAGACTGATCTCGCTATTGTGGGAAGCGACAAGGAAAAGGCTGAAATGGTCCTTGATCAAAAGCCGTGGCGCGAGAATGAAGTTCGCGTCGGCGCCACTGGTGTTTTCCTGAGTGAAAAGTGCTGGCTCGAGATTGCAAATGTTCCAGGTGTGACCCCATACGCCCGGGGCGCTGGAGACTCAAATGACAACCTGCACAACCCAGATGCCGGCCGATCTTTTGGCGATGTTCGATCTGGTCTGCTCTCACCTTCGCCTGGCGGGTACTATGATGACAAGGGCGGTACCTACTTTGGTTCCCGCGACGTCGATGCTCGTTCAGAAGCCCCATCTGGTATCACCAACGGCGACATGTTCCATGGCTTGGAGCAGCCAAAGCCTTTGGATGAGAAGGCGGCAGACGCCAAGATGGAAGAAGTTGAAACTATCCCCGTTTCCGCCAGCCGAAAGAGATGGGTGTTCATCGTCTACTTGATGACTTGGCTCATACCTGACTGGGCCATCCGAGTCATTGGGCGGATACCCCGTAAGGATGTGCGCATGGCGTGGCGCGAGAAACTTGCCATCAACATGATCATCTGGTGGACTTGCGCCTTTGCCATTTTCATCATGATTGGATTTCCCCGAGTCATTTGTCCCAAGCAAAACGTTTACGCACCTGCTGAATTGTCAAGCTTCAACGGCAAGAACGGAAAGCAGTCTTATATCGCCATTCGAGGTGTCGTCTACAATCTTGGTGACTTCGTACCGCGCCACTACCCCAGCATCGTCCCTCAAAAGAGCTTGGAGAAGTATGCTGGAAAGGATGCTACCAATCTGTTCCCTGTACAGGTTTCTGCTCTGTGCTTGGGCAAGGATGGCAAGGGCATTAACCCCGCTGTTCAGCTCAACTACAAGAACTCAAACTACAGCGACTCTCCTGCCCAGAACCTCATCAGTTCCACCGACGTCAACGCTCAATACCACGACTTCCGCTCCTTCACCAACGACTCGCGTCCTGATTGGTGGTACGAGCAGCAAATGTTTCTCAAGGCCAACTACTTCAAGGGCCATGTCGCCTATAGCGCTCAGTATCTGAAGACGCTTGCTTCCAAGAGTAACGCCATCGCCTACATGAACGGCAAGGTATACGATCTCACAGACTACATTCCCGGTGGTCGTGAGCTCAAATATCCTCCTGGCCAAGATCCCAAGGACCAACAGAACGTCGACACCAACTTCCTGGCCGACCCCGTCGTGGACATCTTCCGCGTTCAGGCTGGTAAAGACATCCAAAAGTATTGGGACAACATGCAGCTCGATGCGCAGACCAAGTCGAACATGTTGACCTGCCTCAACAACCTCTTTTACGTGGGCGATGTCGATACCAGAAACTCAGCACGGTGCCAGTTTGCCACGTACTTCCTCCTGTCCATTTCGATTCTGCTGGTTGCCGTTATTGGTTTCAAGTTTCTTGCGGCCCTCCAATTCAGCCGTAAAACCGATCCTGAGAACATTGACAAGTTCATCATCGCTACCGTCCCTGCGTATACCGAAGACGAGGAGTCTTTGCGCCGCGCTATCGATTCAGCTGCCAGGATGAAGTACGATGACAAGCGCAAGCTTCTCGTCATTGTCTGCGACGGTATGATTATCGGTCAAGGTAACGACAAGCCGACGCCCCGCATTGTCCTCGACATTCTCGGTGTTCCAGAGTCGACCGATCCTGACCCATTGAGCTTTGAGAGTTTGGGTGAAGGTCAACGCCAGCACAACATGGGCAAAATCTACTCTGGTCTGTATGAGGTCCAGGGTCACATTGTGCCTTTCCTCGTCATCGTCAAGGTCGGAAAGCCCTCTGAGGTCTCCAAGCCCGGTAACCGCGGAAAGCGTGACTCTCAAATTGTCCTGATGCGATTCCTCAACCGCGTGCACTACAACCTTCCCATGAGCCCCCTGGAGCTTGAGATGCATCACCACATTCGCAACATTATCGGAGTCAACCCTACCTTTTACGAGTTCCTCCTGCAAATTGATGCCGATACCGAAGTCGCACAAGATGCCGCCACCCGATTTGTCGCCGCTTTCCTCCATGACACTCGTCTCCTTGCCATTTGTGGTGAAACTGCTCTCAGTAACGCCAAGTCTTCGTTGGTTACGATGATGCAGGTCTACGAATACTTCATTTCGCACAACTTGACCAAGGCCTTTGAAAGTCTTTTCGGCTCCGTCACGTGTCTTCCCGGTTGTTTCACCATGTACCGCATCCGCGCCGCCGAGTCTGGAAAGCCCCTCTTCGTCAGCAAGGAAGTTGTAGAGGCCTACCAGCAGATTCGTGTCGACACGCTGCACACCAAGAACCTTTTGCATCTCGGAGAAGATCGTTTCTTGACCACACTGCTCATCAAGTTCCATTCCAAGTACAAGACCAAGTACACGATGCGAGCACACGCCTGGACTGTCGCCCCCGACAGCTGGTCCGTCTTCCTGTCGCAACGTCGTCGATGGATCAACTCGACTGTGCACAACCTTGTTGAACTGATTCCACTTCAGCAATTGTGTGGTTTCTGCTGTTTCAGTATGCGCTTCGTTGTCTTCATGGATCTTCTGTCGACTGTTGTCCAGCCGGTCATTGTCGTCTACATTGGTTACCTGATTTACACTCTCGTCTGGTCGACTGACATTGTGCCCATTACGGCATTTATTATGCTGGGTGCCATTTATGGTTTGCAGGCCATCATCTTCATTGTCCGACGCAAGTGGGAAATGATTGGTTGGATGATCATCTACATCTTCGCCACTCCTGCCTTTTCCTTCTTCCTCCCATTGTACTCTTTCTGGTTCATGGACGATTTCTCGTGGGGTAACACCCGTCTCGTTACTGGTGAGAACGGTCGGCAGGTTGTCATCTCAGACGAGGGCAAGTTCGACCCCGCGTCGATCCCGAAGAAGCGATGGGAAGAGTACCAGGCGGAGATGTGGGAGCAGCACACGATCCGCGACGACCGCTCAGAAGCTTCTGGTTACACATACGCCACCCGGAAGCCATTCGGAGGCGCATCGGTCGCGGGCTCAGAGTATGGCGGCATGGCGCCATCCCGAGCTATGTCACATCTCAATGTGTCACGCTACGACAATCCTTCACGGTTGAGTCTCGCCCAAAGTGGCTTTGGCATGGACAGCATGGAGATGGCCCATCTGCCAAGCGACGATGCCATTCTGGTCGAGATCAAGGATATTCTATCCAAGTCCGATCTTATGAATGTTACTAAGAAGCAGATCAAGAGTGAACTAGAGCAGAGGTACGGTTTTCGAGCACTTGTTTGTATTGCCAAGGCTAACCATTGCACAGATTCGGATGCGATCTCACGCTCAAGAAGCAGTTTATCGGTTCTGCCGTCGAGTCGCTACTCATCAGTGGCCAGCTGTACTAGGACCCGCAGCGCATGGCCTCTGCTGCCACTGTCATCTGACTGTCGCATTCTCATTTGGTTGGCGTTTGATGTGAATTTGGGCGTTTGTATATTGTGAGCTATGAACAGCTTGCACCTTTCATCACTCATACTGGTTTTGCATTGGGAACGGGAAAATTTAGGAGTAGATATAAACCGCCATAAGATAACTGAGGCTAGCCACGAAGTATTGAATTGTAATAATCTTCGCCTTGACGCGTCTCATTACTGGTCGTGACATGCATTCCTCAGCCATGATTGACTGGCGTTGAGCTGCTTCGCCAGCGCATGGCCCGAGCGTCGGCAGGCTACCCCTCCAAACCGCCCGCCGCCGCCACACAGAACAATCGATAACTCGCTCGGAAATTCGCAGCCTACACCTCGAGTGTGTGCGTTTCTGGGTGCAAATTTCTAACACTCTTTTCTACGTACGGTCCAGGCCTTTATTGGTTGCAGTCTTTGACTCACGGGACCTGGCTTCTGTTAGGCTCCAGTTTTACTGACACTGGTGTTGGCCACTTTCGTCTGCTGCTTGCTACTCCTGCTTCGCAACGCGACCACTCCTCGAGTGTCATCGTCTGTCCTCGCCACTCGACCGTGCTTCGGCGACTGCATATACCCTCTCGCATACCCGCTTCGACTTAATACACTTGACACACAATGCCGCCAAAGAAGAAGGGCAACAAGAAGGCGCAGATTGACGACTGGGAGGCCGAGCTGGGCGAGTCGGTCGCACCGCAGAATGACGCTGCAGAAGAGCCAAAGCCCGAGGAGGAGGATGCTGCTGCCGACGATGATGCCGCCGGTGGGGGTCTGATGGCTGCTCTAGCAAAGCGCGGCAAGAAGAAGAACAAGAAGGGCGCAAACCCAGATGTTGAAGGCGAGGACCCGCCTGTCGACGGTGCAAACGGAGGTTTCGAAAACAAGGCACCACAAGAAGGGACTTTTGAAGATGACGATGACGACGTGTTTGCTGGAAATTACGGCAAGAAGAAGGCCAAGGGTGGCGCTGCAAAGGCCGAGGAGCCTGCCGAAGAGAAGCCTGCAGATGTGCCACGAGTAAAGACCAAGGCAGAAAAGGAAAAGGAGAAGAAGGAGAAGGAGAAGCAGCGAAAAAAGGAATTGGTATGTCTGCTCAACACAACTTCCGAAGCCCATTCTCTACTAACACGCCATCGTAGGCTGCAAAGAAAAAGGCCAGCGGTCCCGCAAAGGCCGAACCTGCACAGGCTGCCGAGCCCAAGCCAGCGGCCGCCGCACCCTCAACTCCTGCACCTGCTGCAGATGCTGCCCCCGCTGGGGGTGGCAAAAAGAAGAAGATCAACCCAGCTCTTGCCGCCCTCCAGAAACAACAAGAAGAGCGCAGGAAGCGAGAAGAAGAGATTGCGCGTGCCGAAGCAGAAGAGGAGGAAAGGCTGCTCGAGCTGGAGCGACAAGAGACAGAGGAGCAGAAGCGCAAAGAAGAGGCCAAGGCACTGAAGAAGCAAAAGGAGAAGGAGAAGATTGAGCAGCTGAAGAAGGAGGGCAAATACATGACCAAGGCTCAAAAGGAAGCAAAGGCCAAAAACGAGCTACGTCTACAGCAGTTGCTTGAACAAGGTGGCGCAAAGGTCGCTGGTCTCGCCGAGGATGGTGACAAGAAGAAGAAGCCCGTGTACGACGACCGCAAGAAGAAGAAGAAGGGCGAGAGTCAAAAGGAGAAGGAAGCTCGGGAGGCCGAAGAGGCTGCGAAGAAGATGGAGGAGCTTAGACTGGCTGAAGAGCAGGCAGCCAAGGCAGCCGAGGAGGCTGAGAAGGCTGAGAAGGCTCGCCTGGACGCCGAAGCCAAGAAGGACGAGGACGCCGAATCTGGGGATGATTGGGAAGCGCAAGCCGACGAGATGGAGGGCGTCAAAGACAGCTGGGATGTCGACACCGACGAGGAAGAAGAGCGCAAGGCGAATGAGAAGAAGGCCAAGGAGGCGAAGGCTGCAGCAGAGAAAGCAGCCGCCGAACAAGCCAAGAAGGAGGAATCCGAGTCTGACTCTGAGGATGACAGCGATGATTCATCAGAGGATGAGCAAGGAACTGCTGCGCAGCGAGCTGAAGCTGCACGCAAAGCTGCTGCTGCCGAACGACGAAAGCAAGCCCACGAAGAAGCTCTTGCAGCACGGTCCAAGGACAACCTCCGCTCTCCCATTTGCTGTATTCTTGGTCACGTCGATACTGGTAAGACGAAGCTGCTCGACAAGATCCGATCGACCAACGTGCAGGAAGGCGAAGCCGGAGGTATCACCCAACAGATTGGTGCAACCTACTTCCCCGTCGAAGCGCTCCAGAAGAAGACGGCTGTCGTCAACAAGAACAACGAATTCGTCTTCAATGTCCCTGGTCTCTTGGTCATTGACACCCCTGGTCACGAGTCTTTCACTAACCTCCGTTCTCGCGGTTCCTCGCTCTGCAACATTGCCATCCTGGTCATTGATATTATGCACGGTCTGGAGCCGCAAACCATCGAGTCCATGAGGCTTCTCCGAGACAGGCGAACACCCTTTATTGTCGCGCTCAACAAGATTGATCGTCTGTTCGGCTGGAAGAAGATTGACAACAACGGTTTCGAGGACAGTTTTAGTCTCCAGAAGCCCTCTGTTCAAAGCGAATTCGAGGAGCGATGGAACTTTGTTCGCACTCAGCTGCAAGAGCAGGGATTCAACTCGGAACTATTCTACAAGAACAAGAACATGTCAAAGTACGTGTCCGTGTGCCCTACCTCGGCGCATACCGGAGAAGGTATTCCAGACATGATCAAGCTCATTGTCAAGCTTACTCAGGAGCGTCTGACCAACAACCTCATGTACCTCTCCGAGGTTGAGTGTACGGTGCTTGAAGTCAAGGTCATTGAAGGTCTCGGTACGACTATTGATGTCATCTTGTCCAACGGTGTCCTGCACGAGGGTGATCGAATCGTGCTGTGCGGTAACCCAGAGCCCATAGCAACCAACATTCGAGCACTCTTGACGCCCGCCGAGATGAAGGAGCTGCGTGTCAAGTCGCAATACGTACACAACAAGGAGGTCAAGGCTGCCATGGGTATCAAGATTGCTGCTGACGGTCTCGACCAAGCCATTGCTGGTTCGCGACTGCTCGTTGTCGGCCCAGATGACGATGAAGAAGATCTCATGGACGAGGTCATGGGTGACCTGGCTCACTTGCTCAGCAAGGTATCCAAGACTGGCCGTGGTGTTTCCGTCCAGGCCTCGACTCTTGGATCTCTCGAGGCGTTGCTCGAGTTCCTGCGCGTCTCCAAGATTCCCGTCTCCACCATCTCCATTGGTCCCGTCTTCAGGAAGGACGTGCTTCGTGCAGGTACCATGTTGGAAAAGGCCAAGGAGTATGCCGTCATGTTGTGCTTCGACGTCAAGGTTGACAAGGACGCCAAAGCCTACGCCGACGAAATTGGCGTCAAGATTTTCGAGGCTGACATTATCTACCATCTGTTTGACAAGTTCACGGCGCACATGAAGCAACTTGAGGAGCAGAGGAAGGAAGAGTCCAAGATGTTGGCAGTCTTCCCTTGTGTACTCAAGCCTGTTGCCGTCTTCAACAAGACCGGCCCCATCATCATTGGTGTTGATGTCGTCGAGGGTGCTTTACGAATGACCACACCAATCTGCGCCATCAAAAAGAACGCCACCACCGGTGCCAAGGAAATCGTCCAACTCGGAAGAGTGTAAGTCATGCCTTCCTTTTTACCTCTCATCTGTACTAACGCATGCAATACAGTACATCGATTGAGCGCGACCACAAGCCCATGCAAATCTGCAAAAAGGGCCAGCCGTCGGTCGCCGTCAAGATTGAAGCAAACAGCCAGCCCATGTATGGCCGCCACCTCGAAGAATCAGATACACTGTACTCTGCCGTTAGCAGGAAGAGTATCGATACACTCAAGGAGTTTTTCAGGAGCGACGTCAGTCAGGAGGAGTGGAAGTTGATTGTGCAGCTCAAGCAGCTTTTCGATATTCAGTAGAGGGCTTGATTGGAGGGGGGGTTGTGGGGTGTGTGTATGTACGAGAGGGGGAGAGAGGGGAGAGAGAGAGAAGGGAGCGGGTGGATGAGTTCAATGAAAAAGTAAATGCTGGACAATTAAAAAAAACTCATGTATTGGTGTGAAGATGCGATGGAGGAGGAAAAGATGCATGTGATATGGTAGTATATAATTTCTCACAATCTTCTTCTTGTTCTTGTTCTTGTTCTTTTCATGGATTCTTCTTGTCTTTTCTCTCTCTCTCTTTCGATGTTGTTGTTGTTATTCTTTGCACATGAAATGGCGTTCTCTACTAAGACCAGACAAGACAAGAAAATAAAGATATGCATACTCACTTAGCCCTAACTACTCCTCCGTACTTATGTCTACATATGTGTGCCCTGTTTCTTTCTCTCTCTCTCTCTCTCTCCTTCATTTCCCCATCCCCATCTTCCTCGATTTATCCTAGCAGTCGCACTATACCATACCATATCCATCATTGTTTTTTCTATCCCACGTAGCTAACTTGACATGATGTGGTTTTGTTGTGGAGATGAATTGTACATTGTTTCTGGTTGTTTCTGGGGGGGGGGTTTTTTGGGGGGGGGGGC